TTTTTTGTGTCATGGTGGTTGCATGTTTCCTCCCATAAACAGGTTTCCCACCGCACTTTTCAGCAACTTGTGCACTGCATTTCAGGCGCGCGAGAGAAACACGTGTTAAACAATACAAGTCACCGGACCCTTTCGCCTTGCTGTTCCCTCACCTTCCTTCCCATCGTGGCAATTGAGTCTAACTGAAAACCCAAGTTCGAAGTGTCCCCCAAAAGGGGGACCAAATCATTATGTCCTCAAGGAAGCTATTTCAGCTTAGTGGCTACTCCTTACTTGTTAGCTTGCTAGTTAACCCACCCTAGGCTGCTACTGTAGTCCCTCCCCCTCCCCAGCCTAAAAGATGAAAAAAGGGTGGTCAGATTGAGCGAGTCAGGAGTCGATCCCACCAGAGCTTCGTCTTTGTTTCCCTGGCGCTTTTCCATTGGATGCCTTGAATGTTGGAGGTGCCTAATGGGGCCATGACACGGCACGGTGATGCCATGACAGGCACTGGATGCCTGGTGTCCATGGGTCCCCCTCCTATGGTATCCGGCATGACACTGCACTCTCCCCCAGCGATGGCCTCCACCCCTAGTTGCGATGGCCTCCAACCTACTTAAATATAATATTTGATTGATGATTGTATAATATCATTCCCCCCCTCGTTGGAACGAGCTTCTTCGGCCAGAGTACGTTTGGGGCGGGAGTGGAACTCGTCGTGGAACTGGTCATGAAACTTGTCATGAAACGATGGACCATTCAGATTCACTGTTTTGCCCAAAGTGCTACAACGTTGGTCCAAAGACTTGACACAAGACTCTCCAGCGACCGACGGGAGAACTTGAAGACACAGAACTCTGACCAAATGAGGGAACCCAGCGACGATCGTGTTACATACTGGTGATCATGCATCTCCGATTCACATCGAAATGACCTTTTCAAGCTTCTCCATTCTTTGGTTTGTTTGAACATGTTACACATTATATAAATACGTTCCCAGGGAAGGGGGATGAAGAGGGGCGGCAGTTAGGCTGCTTGGCCATGGCACACAGGAATTGAATGGAATTGACCTGATTACTAAGTACTTGCAGCACAGGCGCCACTTGATTCTTGGGCATAGCATTCTTTGTGGGCTCTTACTTCGGGATCTTGGGGAAACTACACCGTTTGAATGTCAATTGAGGATCAACGGGATTTGCCTTTGAGGATACCCTGCAGGAAAGATTTCTGAATTTCTGAATTGGGATCTCGCGAATGAAATTGGATTGGTTGATCATGTCTTCGTGAAGTGCAAACATGGTGGTGGTTCTACCGGGTTCTGCAGCTCAGTGCCACATTTGGTGGGCAACTCTGAAGACAATGTGGAGCCGATGTCAACGTTTTTCACCGCAGAGTTTGACGCTGCACGTGTCATGATGCTTTTATATACCGTCCGTTTGCAAAAAAGTCACCAACATCAACATCGAAGAACTTTCTGTACAGCTTCTTGAAGCCAAGAGGAACTCAAGCTAGTCAAGTTGGAAGGATCTTTGACGATCTCACGTTTCCTCAAATGTGAAACCGTAACCCTACGAAAAATACACTTATGCAAGACCATGTTGAGAATTACTTGTGCATGGGAGGTGCTGAAGCTGCCCATGGAAGCCTGCTGGCCAAGCTGACTTTTGGTAGCCACCAGGTGACTGTTCGTTCGGCCAAACGTGTTTGAGACAGGATGTCGAAGGAGTCCGAGGTCACCTGCAGGAGAGGTTTCATTGAGGAAATCGATGAACTGAATTGAATGTCCTTTGGGCATTTTGGGACATCCAACAAAACGGGGTCAGCATCCAAAGGTTGAAAGACATTCTCCAAGCGGGTTTATGTTTCAACAAGTCCTGGGCCAGAAGGTCCCAGACTCCCAAACGAGGTGAAGAAGTTGTTTGTGCTACTCATGATGCCTGTCGTTTTGTTCCAGGTGATTTGCTTCGATGGTCTTCTGGACAGCTGGGCAGATACACTCCATGGTTTGCTGGAACAGACAGGCGAGTCATAGCGAATCATTTCGCCTGCAAAGTAGTACATTCGTAGATGGCAAACCAGATAACATTTAATTTGAGGGATTCTCAAATATGAGGTTTAGGTAGGAGGACTGATGACTTCTTCCTACCGATCATTTTAGTGTTGCTTTCTAGCATTGGGTGCATCGTCCATAGTCCAATGCTATTTCTACTGTATGTATGTATATTCTTCTTGAATGCACGTGAAGCCAGCTAGAACGTTTTGTGTGCAAATCTTGGTATTCAGGACGCGAACACTTTTGGGGCGACCAGAGATCAAGTGACGGCTTTCAGATGCCAAGAGATTCCAAAGTTGTTTGGAACCACGCGCTTCACTAGGCAATCGCCAGCTGAGCAACACAAACTTCACCCTCGACCCGGAGAGCAGGCGATCAGTCCCAACCGGCCGTCGGGCCGATCGCGATGTTCGCTGTGGATAACAGAAGCATGCAGAATCAAACGAACAGAGGACGAGATGAAACGGCAGTTTGCCCAGAACGACCAGACAGAATGCTTTTAGAAATTTTAGAATTCCCAATGTCCTTTCGCAAGATCTGTCACAAGATTCGATCTGTCAACAAATCTTGGGAACTTGTGTTTCCAGTTTCTTTCACACACTTTTCACATCCTCTCACGCACTTTAGAGTAAGATTAGGACGTGCCGGATGCCCAAGTTGTCCTGATCTTGTCTATATATTTGGTGGGTGGATGTGGGTGGTTGTCCAATAGGAGGAAGCAAGACTCGCCTGATGCTACATCGACTCCCAGCTCGGATTGTCCACAGTTTTACAGTTTATCCCAGTTTCCCGTGTTTGCCGACAAGGTGTTCATTCATCTCCATTCGTATCCATTTGTAAGATTGTGAATTTGCTTGGGCGTTGGCTTGTTCCAGTCACAGCCCGATAGGTGTCGCATGGTTGCAGGGTTTCCGTGACCTCTCAGCCCACTGGTGGAGGGTCCCAGGGGTCCCAGAGTTTGGAAGCTTCCGTCTTCTCTACTCAGGTACGGTCTCGCTTGAAGAGGTTTGGTTGGCTCATAGTGGTATGTACCTGGCCACCTAGCAATGCAACCTCATTTGATTGACTGAATTATGTAAACCATATCAATTACTGTAATTGCATTTATATATACCCTGCAGTTGTTGAACAGAATCAAGTCCACACACACAACTAGTTAACTATATAATATGCTTCACCAGTCCTGATGACGATACATACATGAACAGGTTGCTGTTGTGCTTGCTTATTTCTTTGCTTTGACTTTGAGAACTTGTTTTTCGCAGTTTTTTTCCACATCTTTCTGATGATGCTTCTGAGCCGCCCATGTTGCAAAGGCTGATTTTTGAGACGGACTCGCTCTCACAAGTCTCGCCCAGCACCCTTTGCCGCTGTGGCACCGTACACCTTGATGAGGAGGCGCCGTCCCGATGCTTCATGTGTTGCTTCACATGTGAAATCCAAGTGGGTCCTACTTGGTCTGACTTCATTTCATATGAGGAGGTGTCCAATAGAGACACATTATAGAGAAATTTGCTTTCATTAATATATTCAATATTCTAGTTGTTGGTCTTAAGGTCCCTTGAGATGTTACGCAGAAAGTAGTGTGTGTGTGTTCCTTTCGTTGTCCGATAAACCTACATATACACGGTCTGATTGTTTCACGATTGAAGGTGTTTGATCCGAGCACTTGTGATGTAAAGTGTTTTGTACTGTCGCCTTACATGTTTTGGGTTGAACCTCCACCATTCTTCCCACGCGTACACAGACATGCAAAGGCATTTCAACCGAGCGAGGCTTTAGGTGTGCCGCGCTTGCTCCATCGCTGGCATCAGCAGTGGCCTCAAAAGGTCCACTGGC